CATCTTCAAATTCGGCATAGTCATCGGCATAGCACGACATTTCCTCAGCATCACCCGCATCACTTCCAACAGCTACTTCATGTTGACCACCTCTCAACTTTGCTTTCTTACGTTTCTTCATTGATTTCTTGGGAGATTCACCATCGGATCGTCCAACGGCGTCGGAAAGATCCTCAAGCTCGTCCCCACTTTCTCCATCAATAACCAAAAGGCCTTCGCCCTCTGAGGTTGAGCATTCATCATCAATAGCTGCCATGATCTTTTCCACGCAGGATGATCTTAACTTTCTCTTCTCTTGATCGACACTCACATAAGGAATGTAGTCTTTGACAGTCATCTCGATGATGTTGCCATTGGGATCTAACATGAAAGGAGTTTTCCCCGTCGGCCACACGAATGAATATCCAAGGTCAACGCACCGCTTGCCCATGGAGATCACGGAGGGCGTGTCTTCCAGGATGTGAGCTTCTGCTGGTTCGTTGAATGCCTCGAACTTGATACTTGATCGTTTGGTCGAACATGTTACTCCGTTTGCTGTATGGAAGTTAACGACTTTATCATCATATGTTGGGAGATCCATTCTACTTATCCGTGTGGATGAGATGAGATCATGACCACTTCCAGAATCCAGTATGAATCTCTTGTCTCTTTCTTCAACAGGAACAGTGATACACATTGTGTTGCCCCTTTTACCATATCGACCCTCGATATGCTGAACGTAGTTCTCCACGAAGACTTCCCTGGATACCTCACCGTCTTCGATGTCGAACCTGATCAGAATGTCCAGACTGGGGCCGACGATGACTAGGACTTCATCAATGTCACTGTATTCACCCTTCTCATCGATCAGGATAGCCATTGCCTTCCCTCGGCTTGATGCTAGTCTACATGAATAAGACCATTGCTCATCTTGCCTTATTTGATCGGTGGGCTTACCAACTTTACCATGACCTTTGGGGATGGTCTGGGATTTCCGGCTGCACTTCACGAAGTCCTTCTTCACGTACGTTTGGATGCAAGTCTTGGATTCATCGAATCTGACCTTCTTCTTGACGACATTCGATGCAACCTTGTGGGATGTCCCTTCGTCATCACTCCAATCATGGACAAGTGCAGGAGTAGCCTTTGAGCTTGACGCTTCGGTGTTTGGAGCAGTGTTGAATAGATGAGGATCATGACGTTTGTTGCATTTGTCTCCATATCGGCACTTGCCTTTAGCCCAGTGCCAGCATGGTTCATCAACCTTCTTGGTCTTGTTCGCTGGAGATTGACTTCTCGGAGTCCCTGGCTTTCGACCATTACCTTTTGCGTTCTTGTTCGCATCGAACACCTTTTGGTCGTGACTGTATTCACAATCTTTGCCTTTTCTGCATGCTTTCTTGATGAAATGGAAGTGGCATGGGATCTTCTTCTTGGATCTAGGACTAGCACTTCGGCTATTTGGTCGTCCGTTTCCTTTCCCTTGACCTTTCCCTTTTCCTTTTGCATGCTGTTTTGGTTGAGGTGATGGTAGAACTGGAGCTGCATCAGCCTTGGCCTTTGCCTTAGGTGCTGCCTTCTCCTTGGGAGTGGCTTTAGGCTTCGCTTTCGGATTGGCATCTGGTGCAGCGGCAGTTGGATTCGGTGCAGGAGCAGTGGGTTTGCCGCCACCTGCAAAGTCTCTTGCATACTTCTCCCTAGCAGCCACATGCTTGTCTTCTCTGATTCTAGAGATGTGCCTTTCGATGACGTCCAACAGGTAGCGATAGCTTCGTCTTTGATCTCCTTCAATCCATGACTCGTACTGCTTGATGTCGAACATCATGAGACTCGAATTTCGAATCTTCTTATATAGAGCGTCGCGAAGCCAATCGTCAGGAGGTACATCATCCGGCATCATGTTTGACACCATCTCCATCCACTTCTCGTAGAACACTTCCAGGTTGGAGTCACCTAGATACTTCATCGATACGATGTGCTCCATGGTGAAGGCTGTCTCTCGTTGACCCGGAGTTCTGAAGTGTTCCAGAATCATAGCCAAAATTTCTCGTCCCATAACGTAGGTTCCTCTTCGACTATGACTCTGTGTTCTCAACCTTAGTTTAATTGCTACATGACGAGCAACATCACCGGCTTGCGCTATCACGTTCGATAATGCTATTGACAACTTGGCGTCTATTGACTGATATCGTTGTCCACCACTGTCATTCAGCAGCTCAATGTCAGGGTTTGGTCTTATAGCCGGCTGTAGCCACGCTTCCCATGCAGCTTTGTCTCCATCATTCGCGGCAAGAACAACGCCCTTGATGAGATCTGATTGCCAAACCCCAAGGTTCTGTTGCTTCGGCCATGGGCTAACATAGACTTTGTCAGCCTCCCGTCTTGACATTCTCGGTACTTCTTCTGCCGTGCACGCTGCTGTGGAGATATCATCTGCTGAATCGCGTTGTGATCCTCGAACTGAAGGCAAGCCAGGAGGTTCTGGAGGTGGTCCCGGACCGTTGGGTCCGAAAGGGTCAGGAGGCCCATCAGGGTCAGGTGGACCGCCCCATCCGCTCGGAGGCTTGTAATAGTCCTTTTCAGTTCCCTCGGCGATCTTGTTGTCAACTTCTTTCAGCAGATCGGTGATTCTTTTGTTCGATTGAGAAGGTTGCTGTTGAGAAGATCCAGCATGTCCGCGGTAAGATTGAGCAGCATTTGTCTCGTAGGTTAACTCCTTGTCGATCTGCGATACCCAAGATTTTAGGATAGCATTCTCAGAGTTAGCCTCACTCACCTCATTCTCCAGTTTGTCGATGACCAGTCTTGATGCGAGATCATAGTTGGGGATACCTGCCGAATAGGGAAGTGTGTCAGGGCTAACCCTGGACATAGATGTTTCAGAATCCTTGAGACTCTTTCTCAGTTCATCTAAGTGACGTTTCATGTCAATAATCTCAGAATTCTTGACACCAATCTTTTCATCCCTATCCTGAATTTCCCCCATGAACATGCATGACCTCTCATATTGTTGGACACCACTAGCCAATTTCATTTTGCGCTCACTTTCTAGTTCAGATCTTAAAGTTCGGACTTCAGCATTGGAGAAGGACGACGCCCCTACATCCGCAACTTCAGTCAATCTCTCTTTTAACAACATGTTCTCCTGTAAACATTCATGAACTTCATGGTCTAGATCCTGAACCCTGATTTGAGCTATTTTGGCTTGGTTCCGTAGATCTTCAACAAGCATATCAGGGCCACGACCGTCGGTCGTAGTGCCCTGAGTCAATGATCTTCGCAACTTCACGTTCTGCAATTTGATCTCATCCTTCAATTCACAGTTCATCTCCTGCTCATTGGCGTAGAGCTCCTCATAGTGCTCTGCCCTCGCAATTGCATTCGCACTAGCCTGTGATTCAAGCCTTAGGTGTGATATCGCTTCTGCCTCGTGGTTCCTGTATGATGCAATTCTTCTGACAGTATCATGTTCAGTGTTTCGGTGCTTCAGATCACTTTCCAATTTGGCCTGATTTGCCTCGAAAACCTTCTTTCTAGATTCTCTAGTGATCTCTTCAATACTGCTTTCATACAACTCGGCCTGTTTACGAGACTGAACTAGAGCTTCACTCAATAGCTGATTCCGTTCAGACAATTCATGAACTGCAATTGGTTGTTGTTGGCTAATCATTTCAAGTTGATTGCTTGAGAAGGATGCCATTTCAGATCGATTACGATATTCCATAATTGAGTTCTGGAAATCCGTCTGCATTTCTTGACCTTCAGTGTACAATCGGTTGGCAATATCGGTAGTTAAGACATTGGTCTGATGAAGCTGTTGCAGTCTTGCCTCCGTATTACCCAGTAGTCCTTGAAGGTGATGTACTTCATCCTTGTACTCTTCCTGGATCTCCATACCGCGTTGATGGATCCGTCTTGCACCATGTTCCATCAGGGCACCTCGGCGTTCAAGGTCTTGGATGCGTATTGTTGCACCTTCGTCTTCCTGAGATGCTACCATTAGTTCTGCTTGATATTCTGCAACCTCATTTGCGGAACATGACAATCTATGATTGAGTGCATTGACCTCATCAAACACATTCTGGTTGTGTTCCTGAAGATATTCCGTGAATCTGATCTCGATGTCATGAATCAGTTGATCTCTTGATGCAGCATATGCTTCCATGTTGTTCAACTGATTACGTAAGGATTGACATTGTGCCCGTAGTTCTTCAATCATTGCAATAGGTTCACTAGCCACAGAAGTATCCGTTGATCTTCTCTTAACACGAGTGTCCCCGGTCCTCTCACCAATTCGGTCGGTTACGGCCCTGGTGGATCTGTCCCTTGGGGTAGTTCGTCCTCGAGATGGTCGATGCCCTTGACGGACAACATCACTTCGAGCACTGTTTCGAGAAGATCTTGGTGTACTTTGAGTGGATATTCTTCGTCTGTTTGATGTGACTTGCCATCCGGACTGTGTAGTTCGGGTAGAGCGTATCCCACCACTGTCTGCCGTGTCGCCAGGGGAAGATTGAGTGACCTCCTCGACCGGCATAGCAGTGTTCTCATTGAAGGTAAACTGCGTGTTGCGCGAATCTCCGCTGCCGCCCTGCATCTTTGCGATGATGAGCTGATTGGTCCTTTGCGTCCACAATCTTGAGCTCAGACGGCCCGGCTACCAGCACGCAGGTACTCCTCTTCCGACGGAAGAAGTGAGCCCTTACGGCTGATAACCTGTGAACAATTTGATCCTTGTCCTGGATGTTATCTCAATCTGGTAGTACCCTTGTTACCGGTAGCCGATGAATGCCATGCGGAGTCACGCGACGCAGCCCTTTTCTCCATACGCTTGAGCCAATGTTTGGCGGTCACAGCATGTTGTCTAAACAGTGCATGCTGTACATGTTGTGTCATCTCGTTCCCTTTAACATTATATATATATATACATAAATATTTTAAATATATATATATATACACCCTATATAACCACCTGGGGACCACCGGGCCCCCGGCTGCAGTAACCGCAACTGCCAAGGCTCCACCGCCCAAGGCCGTGATGAAACCCACCAGGTTGCAGCCCAGCAAGTCCATCCCCGCCAAGCCAGCGGCCAAGCTCCCGGTGAAGGCGAAACTCGCGTCACCCACGTAGTTGGCCGCCATAAAGGTCCTATCTGCAGATCAGCTGATGGTGATTGATGGTGATTGATGGGGATTGATGGTGATTGATGGTGACTGATGGTGATTGATGGTGACTGATGGTGATTGATGGGGATTGATGGGGATTGATGGGGATTGATGGTGATTGATGGTGATTGATGGTGATTGATGGTGATTGATGGTGATTGATGGTGATTGATGGTGATTGATGGTGATTGATGGGGATTGATGGGGATTGATGGGGATTGATGGGGATTGATGGGGATTGATGGTGATTGATGGTGATTGATGGTGACTGATGGTGATTGATGGTGATTGATGGTGATTGATGGTGATTGATGGTGACTGATGGTGATTGACGGTGACTGATGGTGATTGATGGGGATTGATGGGGATTGATGGGGATTGATGGTGATTGATGGTGATTGATGGTGATTGATGGTGATTGATGGGGATTGATGGGGATTGATGGGGATTGATGGTGATTGATGGTGATTGATGGTGATTGATGGGGATTGATGGTGATTGATGGGGATTGATGGTGATTGATGGTGATTGATGGTGATTGATGGTGATTGATGGGGATTGATGGTGATTGAGGGATTGCTGGGGGATTGATGGGGATTGATGGTGTTTGATTGTGATTGATGGTGATTGATGGTGATTGATGGTGATTGATGGTGATTGATGGTGATTGATGGTGATTGATGGTGATTGATGGTGATTGATGGTGACTGATGGTGATTGATGGTGATTGATGGTGATTGATGGTGATTGATGGTGATTGATGGTGATTGATGGTGATTGATGGGGATTGATGGGGATTGATGGGGATTGATGGGGATTGATGGGGATTGATGGTGGTTGATGGTGATTGATGGTGATTGATGGTGATTGATGGTGATTGATGGTGATTGATGGGGATTGATGGGGATTGATGGGGATTGATGGGGATTGATGGTGACTGATGGGGATTGATGGGGATTGATGGGGATTGATGGGGATTGATGGGGATTGATGGTGATTGATGGTGATTGATGGGGATTGATGGGGATTGATGGGGATTGATGGTGATTGATGGTGATTGATGGTGATTGATGGGGATTGATGGTGATTGATGGGGATTGATGGTGATTGATGGTGATTGATGGTGATTGATGGGGATTGATGGGGATTGATGGGGATTGATGGTGATTGATGGTGATTGATGGTGATTGATGGGGATTGATGGGGATTGATGGGGATTGATGGTGATTGATGGTGATTGATGGTGATTGATGGGGATTGATGGGGATTGATGGGGATTGATGGGGATTGATGGGGATTGATGGTGGTTGATGGTGATTGATGGTGATTGATGGTGATTGATGGTGATTGATGGTGACTGATGGTGATTGATGGTGATTGATGGTGATTGATGGTGATTGATGGTGATTGATGGTGATTGATGGGGATTGATGGTGATTGATGGTGATTGATGGTGATTGATGGTGATTGATGGTGATTGATGGTGATTGATGGTGATTGATGGTGATTGATGGTGATTGATGGTGACTGATGGTGATTGATGGTGATTGATGGTGATTGATGGTGATTGATGGTGATTGATGGTGATTGATGGTGATTGATGGTGATTGATGGGGATTGATGGGGATTGATGGGGATTGATGGGGATTGATGGGGATTGATGGTGGTTGATGGTGATTGATGGTGATTGATGGTGATTGATGGTGATTGATGGTGATTGATGGTGATTGATGGTGATTGATGGTGATTGATGGTGATTGATGGTGATTGATGGTGATTGATGGGGATTGATGGTGATTGATGGTGATTGATGGTGATTGATGGTGATTGATGGTGATTGATGGTGATTGATGGTGATTGATGGTGATTGATGGTGATTGATGGGGATTGATGGTGATTGATGGTGATTGATGGTGATTGATGGTGATTGATGGTGATTGATGGGGATTGATGGGGATTGATGGGGATTGATGGTGATTGATGGTGATTGATGGTGATTGATGGTGATTGATGGTGATTGATGGTGATTGATGGTGATTGATGGTGATTGATGGTGATTGATGGTGATTGATGGTGATTGATGGTGATTGATGGTGATTGATGGTGATTGATGGTGATTGATGGGGATTGATGGTGATTGATGGTGATTGATGGTGATTGATGGTGATTGATGGTGATTGATGGGGATTGATGGGGATTGATGGGGATTGATGGTGACTGATGGTGATTGATGGTGATTGATGGGGATTGATGGGGATTGATGGGGATTGATGGGGATTGATGGGGATTGATGGGGATTGATGGGGATTGATGGGGATTGATGGAGATTGATGGTGATTGATGGTGATTGATGGTGATTGAAATGGGGATTGATGGGTGAATTGATGGGGATTGATGGTGATTGATGGTGATTTGAATGGTGATTGATGGTGATTGATGGTGATTGATGGGGAATTGATGGTGATTGTGGGGGTTGATGGTGATTGAATGGTGATATGATGGTGATTGATATGATTGATGGGGATTGAATGGGATTGATGGGATTTGATGGGGATTGATGGGGAATTGATGGGGATTGATGGTGATTGATGGTGATTGATGGTGATTGATGGTGATTGATGGTGATTGATGGTGATTGATGGTGATTGATGGGGATTGATGGTGATTGATGGTGACTGATGGTGATTGATGGTGACTGATGGTGATTGATGGGGATTGATGGGGATTGATGGGGATTGATGGTGATTGATGGTGATTGATGGTGATTGATGGTGATTGATGGTGATTGATGGTGATTGATGGTGATTGATGGTGATTGATGGTGATTGATGGTGATTGATGGTGATTGATGGGGATTGATGGTGATTGATGGTGATTGATGGTGATTGATGGTGATTGATGGTGATTGATGGTGATTGATGGTGATTGATGGTGATTGATGGGGATTGATGGGGATTGATGGGGATTGATGGTGATTGATGGTGATTGATGGTGATTGATGGTGATTGATGGTGATTGATGGTGATTGATGGTGATTGATGGTGATTGATGGTGATTGATGGTGATTGATGGGGATTGATGGTGATTGATGGTGATTGATGGTGATTGATGGTGATTGATGGTGATTGATGGTGATTGATGGTGATTGATGGTGATTGATGGTGATTGATGGTGACTGATGGTGATTGATGGTGATTGATGGTGATTGATGGTGATTGATGGTGATTGATGGTGATTGATGGTGATTGATGGTGATTGATGGTGATTGATGGTGATTGATGGTGATTGATGGTGATTGATGGTGATTGATGGTGATTGATGGTGATTGATGGGGATTGATGGTGATTGATGGTGATTGATGGGGATTGATGGTGATTGATGGTGATTGATGGTGATTGATGGTGATTGATGGTGATTGATGGTGATTGATGGTGATTGATGGTGATTGATGGTGATTGATGGGGATTGATGGGGATTGATGGGGATTGATGGTGATTGATGGTGATTGATGGTGATTGATGGTGATTGATGGTGATTGATGGTGATTGATGGGGATTGATGGGGATTGATGGTGATTGATGGTGATTGATGGGATTGATGGTGATTGATGGTGATTGATGGTGATTGATGGTGATGGATGGTGATGAAATCTGGCTGAGAAAAGGTTTCCGCAAAGAATGGGAAGATGCTGATGAAATCTGGGTGATTGATGGTGATGAAATCTGGCTGAGAAAAGGTTTCCGCAAAGAATGGGAAGATGCTGATGAAATCTGGCTGATTTCGGCGATTAAAGTGCTGCTAAGCAGCAAAAATATGGGAGCGTCAGGGGAATTAGCCTCTGGTTTAAGAGTTGGCTATGGGAAATAAGCCATTTCTAAATGATGTATGATGATTTACCTATTAATCCTATTAAACATTGTGATTGTCCAGGGCTACATTGAATAAACAGAGGGTATTTGACTTGATATTGTCCGATATGCAGATATCTGATTTTATGTGATCCCAATGTGTTTTTTTATTTTTTTTTGTGGTTCTCTGATTTTGGAAGGGGAAAGCATCGAAATTCGCTGCTTTGAAACATGGTGAAACTTCATTTCCTACTGTGGATGGAAGAAATCGGTATCTATTGGGTAAGTATGAAACACTGTAAATTGTGTGATTATAAGATGTCATGAGGTGCAACAATTTCTTCCACCCACGGTATGATTTAAAGAATGGCAATTTTGGGATCTTCATCATCTTCATCATCTTCTGCCACGATACAATATATCCCACCTTGATATACCTTGATTATCCTTGATTGAGTATTCGCTATGACACTATGAAATTGATGACAAAAGCACGTCTTGTTGGTAAAACAGCCCTCAAGAACATGGAGCAAAATGAGACCTGTGAAAACGAAAATCACTGACTGAGAAGCTGTCATGGCTCCTGTCAATGGTTACCGCTTGCCGCTCCCGGTCAGACAGAAGCACTGCACAAACCAGTGCAGCGATCAAAGCCAATCGTTGTCGTTGCGCCTTTCTCCCTTTCATCACAGGTGCCCTTGGTCGATCGCTGGAACCCCATGGGCTGTGGCTGGTCCGTGGTTGACTCGCTTGACCGAACGAAAAAAAGAGCCGAGCACAGGAGTCGCAAAGGGAGCGCTGCGAAGTACATCCAAATTAATCCAAATATGTGATCTTATCAATGCGCTTCATACTTCATATCATGATACAACATCGAGTATGTATATTATATATATATATGCGTGTGTATGTGTTTGTGTGTGTCTATGCGTATGTGCATATATATATATATATATGTGTGTGTGTGTGTGGGTGTGTGTGTGTGTGCACATACTTCATAATCATCCTCACTACCACCAAAATATTCATCCTCCTCATTATCTGCATCATTGCTGAGCCACCATCCAACACTCCCCTCACCTCTCGGATGGTCTGCAAAGCGACATCGTCAGGAAAACGGCCCATGGAGTCCTGGTCAAGGCGCAGAAAGTCGGCGTTACTCCCAACATCCAGGTACAAGGGGGTGAAATCATGGTAAATTTATGTAATTAAATTGGAAGGAACGATTCCCAAGTTCCCCCCATGTGGCTATCATATGCTATCATGTACCAGGGTTGGAACACCCCACCGGAACAAGAGGCGGCTCCTGTAGAATGCCCAGCTCTCGCCCAAGTTCTCGGCTTACCAGGTCAGATCGAGTGGCCATGGTTTGTGCCAGCCTCACTCCAGGTGTCACCGCCATGAGAAAACGACCGCAATCTCTGAGTTCATCTGAGTTCGACACTTGACAAAAACAGTGCCAAGACATGCCACCTGGATGGCTGGAGTCAGTTGCAGATCGAAGCCTGGACCTGCAACTTTACCACATTCCAACATTTGAAAGGTCCAAAAGGATCCAAAAGGTAATGTATGGGTCATAGTATGGGTATTGGAAATATTGAAATATGATGAAATATGCTTGATCAGGCAGTTCAAGGTGAGTATTTGGGGATTGCTCAGTGTTTGGCAAACGTCCTGATTTGGAGATTTTGAACACTTTCAAGTATCTGTTGGAGATTCCCAGTAGTTGGGTGATGTGAGTGATGTTCAATTGGGACATTTACTATCCCCTGTTGCTACATTGAAATACCAATGATGTGACGTTGCGTGTGACCGCCCGCGCACCTCTGTTCGCACACGTTCACCTCGCCACTCCACGGGGTGTCCCTCATCCTACGAGGCTGGGACCGTGGCTGCCTATGATCCAAACGAGCCCAGAGTGGCCTGCCAGGCAGCCCTTGCTGCATTGATGCGGGAGACCACCTGCGGAGCCGAAACAACCGGCAGAAACGGTGAATTCACTCCGGTTTGAGGATGAAAGGAAAAAAAAAAAACTTTACTTCTAGAGACCCTCACCTGGCAGGTGGGGAACAACATCAAATCCTTGATTTGTATTTTCTCCGCCGGACAGCCTAATAGCCTAAGAGCATAAGCGGTTTCCTACAAATTTGCGACGGGCCTCCACCAACCTGGACACTGCTCTCAAGGGTTCCTTGCCAAAGTACCTCTAGGCTTCCCAACGAAGCTGCGGACTGGGCACATCGATTATGTAATCTATATGCCTGTAGGCAATGATGGCCTTCTGGAAAAAATGGAAGGGCAGCCTGGTACCATTTACATTGCATGTAGGTTGACTGATTTTTTTTGATTCAAAGGAAGGGAGACCAAAAAAAAAGTTGACAACGCCCTCACAAGCTTGGATATTCAATGGGGGCACTGTGCCCTCTCATAAGCTAGCCAAGAAGATGCACAGCCTACGTCCATGTATAAATGATGTTCCTTGCAGGAATGAATGGGTAGCTCACAGCCAGCCATGTTTCATTACCAGCTTGCCAGGTTGGACCAAAGAGCGTCATCCAAATTTGGTCGGTCAAGCTACGGTGTATGTCAAAGCACCATTGTTGTAGGTTCTTCCATTAATTAATCAACCACAAAACCGCCATCTTTTTCACCAGTTGAATATCACTTTTGTGGTAAAACATGGTCAAACAAACATCTCCGTCGCTTAAACCATCATTTTCCAAATTGCGTGCTGGCTACACGCACGCAAGTATATTTATATATATATATTGTATATATATATATATTGTATGTATATATATATATATATAAATTATCTATTGAGTTCTTGTCCAAAATCATGCTCATGCTCAAATGCCATGATACCATCCCCCATCCCATATTCATCAGCCAAGTCGCAGAAAATATGAAGTCGAGAAACATCTATCATCATCCATCATCATCTATCATCATCCATCAATCTATCCATATACTCTCCGGTAATCTGACAGTTCGCTATTGAAAATGACCTATAGAAATAGTTGATTTACCTACCAGTAGTACCGCACAAGGCGCTGGCGGAAGTTTCAAAAATAGGAACCTATAGGAGAGGTTGGTTGTGGTGAATCAGGGGTGGCAGGGCGAAGCCACTGATGGATCGAAAGGTGATTGATCTCTCTCACTCTTTCTCTCTCTTTCTCTGACTACCTATCTGTCTATCTATTTATCTATCTATCTAGCTATCTATCTATCTATCTAGCTAGCTATCTATCTATCTAACTATCTATCTGTCTATCTGCCTGTCTGTCTATCTGTCTACCTGTCTATCTGTCTATCTGTCTATCCATCTATCTATCTACCTATCTATTTATCTATCTATCTATCTATCTGTCTATCTGTCTACCTGTCTATCTGTCTATCTATCTATCTGTCTATCTGTCTACCTGTCTATCTGTAGTGCAGTGTCATTCAGTGTCATTCAGTGTCATTCAGTGTCATTCAGTGTCATTCAGTGTCATTCAGTGTCATTCAGTGTCATTCAGTGTAGTGTAGTGTAGTGTAGCGTAGTGTAGCGTAGTGTAGCGTAGTGTAGCGTAGTGTAACGTAGTGTAACGTAGTGTAACGTAGTGTAACGTAGTGTAACGTAGTGTAACGTAGTGTAACGTAGTGTAACGTAGTGTAACGTAGTGTAACGTAGTGTAACGTAGTGTAACGTAGTGTAACGTAGTGTAACGTAGTGTAACGTAGTGTAACGTAGTGTAACGTAGTGTAACGTAGTAACGTAGTGTAACGTAGTGTAACGTAGTGTAACGTAGTGTAACGTAGTGTAACGTAGTGTAGTGTGTAACAATTGAGTGCAGTATAGTGTAGTGGAGTGTAGTAGAATGTAGTGAAGGTGTAGTTGTAGTTGTAGTGTAGCGTAATGTATTGGAGTGTAGTGTAATGTAGTGGCGGTTGTAGTTGAAAATGCTACAAAACCCTCACGTTTTGCTCACTTTTGACAAGGTCCACAATCCCTTGCGCCTGCCACGCGAAACGACATCTGAACCTCCAAAAATGGTCCGTACAATGGTGTGTTTTGTACATTTTGACTTGGAAATGTGCTTCGCACCACAAAGGCGTGCACCTTTTCGACATCTGAACCTCCAAAAATGGTCCATACATGGTGTGCTTTGTACATTTTGACTCGGAAATGTGCTTCACGACGGCGTGCACTTTTTCGACATCTCAACTGCCAACAGTGGTCCGCACCTCTAGTGTTTTGTACATTTTGACTTGGAAATGTGCTTCGCACCACAACGGCGTGCACCTTTTCGACATCTGAACCTCCAAAAATGGTCCGTACATGGTGTGTTTTATACATTTTGACTTGGAAATGTGATTCGCAACGGCGTGCGCTTATTCGACATCTCAACTGCCAAAAGTGGTCCGCGCCCCTAGTGTTTTGTACATTTTGACTTGGAAATGTGCTTCGCGCCACAACGGCGTGCACTTTTTCGACATCTCAACTTCCAACAGTGGTCCGAACGTGGTGTGTTTTGTACATTTTGACTTGGAAATGTGCTTCGCGCCGCAACGGCGTGCACTTTTTTGACATCTCAACTGCCAAAAGTGGTCCGCACCCTAGTGTTTTGTACATTTTGACTTGGAAATGTGCTTAAGGCTTCGCGCCACAACGGCGTGCAATTTTTCATCTCTCATCTGGCCAGCTGGCTGGCTCCGCACCCGCCGCTTTAGCGAGCCTACTTTTCGACCCTCCGGAGCCCCAAATCATTGGAAAAACACAGTGTTTCGCGACTTTCCTACCTTTTCTTGCATCTGCATCTTCTTTCTTCTCACTCTTTCTCTTCTACTCTTCTTTCTTCTAATCTCTTCTCTCTGCCTTCCCTGCTCTGCTTTTCATCTGTCCATATTGTCGGAAGTTTGACTTCTAAACTTCCTTCGATTAATAAGAGTGGTGATTTTCGTAATTTACCGTAGTTATCTTCCCCTCTGGTAAATTAACATAGCTATTGAAAATGGCCATAGAAATAGTGGATTTACCCATTAAAAATGGTGGATCTTTCCATAGTTATCTTATCCATCCTATGATGGCGTCACTGAGGTCACCGATCTAAGGCTGCGCCATCATACTTCCCCGCCACAGGGGGTGGAGCTGAGGCACAGCGTCTGACCCGGCCTCGGTAAAGAAAAAAAGGCTGGAGGGAGAGCTCTACAGTCTACCCTCTGGTAAACATACAAAAAACTATGGAAAATCAATGAAAATCACCATTTTTCATGGGAAAATCAACTATTTCTATGACCATCCACAAAATCTGGTTGGTGGTTGAGCCTACCCCTCTGAAAAATGATGGAGTTGGTCAGTTGGGATGATGAAATTCCCAACTGAATGGAAAGTCATAAAATTCCATGGTTCCAAACCACCATCCACAAAATTCTCCACAAAATGTCCATGAATAAATGTCTGGAATCAAGCTGCCTCTGCGCACCACTCGCCTGCGGAGTTTGAGATTCAGCTGAAGGAAGTCAGCTTAAAATTGATGGTGGCTCTCTCGCTTCATTGGATTAAGCGCATATTTCCTCCAGTATCCGAACATTCATCCTGTTGGACAATATCCACAACAGGGTCTCTTCATCTACTGTCTGGTGTGCGTATATACATATACATACATATATATATATAAATAAATATTATTAAGTGTATGTATGTGTGTATGTATGTCTGTCTGTATGGATGGATGTCTGTCTGCATGCAT